ACAGTATATTCTTTACATTATAATTTTATTCTAAATATTTTATGTAATGTCTGTGGATGTTTAACATACTTCTTCATTTACTGATGTTACAGTACGTTGATGCTTTTCCCCAGTTCATAAGGTCTGCATTATGCTGTATACTCATGTTAATTACAGGAGTGCTTCCACAGACTTGTGCCTCAATTCAGATTAAGTTGATTCATTTAGTAGATTGCCCAATTATTAATGTCTAGTGGTTAAATGAAATCCACAGATCGCCTGGGCCTTTTAATGTGACCTTTTGTAGTTTTGATGTTTGGCCAAGATCAGTACTCAGCGCCTATTAATTTTACATGGGGAAAACATTTTGAAAAAAAATTAAAATCAGTCTGCACACATTTTCCACTAATTCCCAGTATTTTATTATAATTTTTTTCTGTCCACCCATTCACTGTTACAACAGTTTTTGAATGAACAAAGAGTTGTTTGAGTGGAGGTCTTCGATTGTGGTAGTATTGATTTCATAATTAGCATTGATAATGTATACGTAGGTGGTTTTTGGCAAAAATGAGCTGCAGCGCTTCATGGTGATAGTGAATCTCTGGCTTCTGAAACTCTTGTAGCAAAAACCATGTGTTATGGAGTATGGAATCAAGTTCTCATTCTGCTCTGAGCTGAACTTCAGTCCGTGTTCTGGGATCCAGGTCTCTGGAGTGCAGGACCCAGCTGAATTGACTGTAGTCAGTCATGAATGTATTATTAATGATCAGTGTAAATCCCTCGACATGACTCTGTGAGGAGTGCTGGGTGAAGATCTGCTGCAGCTCAGCCGAACATCGCTGAACTCATATCTATAACCACAGGATGCTGGTCTGTGTTTTCATTCAAGAAATTTTTACTTTTTAGAACTTTTTCAGAAAATCAGGAAAGTGTTCTTCATCTGTTTGTTGAGTATGTACTGTAGCGTGTAGGATCACAGCCACTGGATCTATCTATCTATCTATCTATCTATCTATCTATCTATCTATCTGTCGTTTAATCGATCTATCGTTCTATCATTCTATCGTTCATTTTCTAAAGTTCTATCCATCATTTTATCTATCTATCTATCTATCTATCTATCTATCGTTCATTTTCTAAAGTTCTATCCATCATTCTATCAAATGTTCTATCTATCTATCTATCATTCTATCGTTCAATCGTAATATCATTTAATCGATCTATCGTTCTATCATTCTATCGTTCATTTTCTAAAGTTCTATCCATCATTCTATTGTTCTATCTATCTATCTATCTATCTATCTATCTATCGTTTAATCGAGCTATCGTTCTATCATTCTATCGTTCATTTTCTAAAGTTCTATCCATCATTTTATCTATCTATCTATCTATCTATCTATCTATCATCTATCTATCTATCTATCTATCGTTCTATCTATCTATCTATCTATCTATCGTTCTATCGTTCTATCATGTAATCTATCTATCGTTCTATCATTCTATCGTTCATTTTCTAAAATTCTATCCATCATTCTATCAAATGTTCTATCTATCTATCTATCTATCTATCTATCTATCGTTCTATCTATCTATCTATCTATCTATCTATCGTTCTATCTATCTATCCATCCATCCATCATTATATGTATTTATCTGTCATTCTGTCTATCAATCTATCAATCCAGCTATCTTTAATGGATTCTAATTCTACTTTCTTCCATTCAGTTTGAGTAGTAATTCTACAAATAATTGATTTAGATTTAGATTGAAAATGCATTCTCAATTCACTTCTGAATGGCACCTGCCAGTGCAATTGCAGCTGAGCAGAAACTCGCCATTCGTGCATGTTATAATTCTTCTTGAGCTGTCCTTTTCTCAAACTCCAAAGTTTCTTAATAATCATAAATGACATCTGATGTCTCCAGGTTCATTGTAATCTGAAATATTCTCTTTGATGAAGTTATCATGCGAAGTACCACCCTATGGTGTGGAGCAGCCTGCTTAACATTCTCCATGCAAGCGTGGCCCGATAATGAGGCAACGCAGTTCAGACTCACAAATTTTCACTGTGGTCTTTAGATCCTATTAGCTCTCTCCAGAGAATCTTTTCTCATGCAGGTTAGAGAGAGAAACCTGGCGGATGCAATCAAAGCCTTATTCTAATCACATAGCTGATTATAGCCATCATCTTCCACCAACAGATTTCAGGCTTTCTGGGAAGTGTCCATCCTGATGGGATAGTTTAGAGAACAATGCACATTTGAGACGTATGCATTTCCTTTTACCGTCTGTGCTGTACGGATACATTACTCTATCATCAGTGAAACTCATTACCGAAGGCCCGTAACAGCCCACTGGCCAATTACAGTAAGACAATGTCTGTGATAGTGACTAGATTGAATGAACGGGATAATGATTGTGCCTTACGGATTGACTTTCTGTGTGACTGTATCACATAATACATTTGCATTTTATTTAACTTAACAGACTGTGTGCCACAACAGCGGCTCTTCAGATAGAAGATTTTTTTGCCAGGTGAAAATTGCAAGTCTAAAATTTCCTGAAAATGTACTCACCCTCAGGCCATCCAAGAGGTGGATGAGTTTTTCTTCATCAGAACAGATTTTGAGAAATGTAGCATTACATCTCGCTCAGCAATGGATCCTCTGCAGTGAATGGGTGCCGTCAGAATGAGAGTCCAAACAGCTGATAAAAACATCTCAATAATCCACAAGTAATCCACACCACTCCAGTCCATCAATCAATGTCTTGTGAAGTGAAAAGCTGCGTGGTGTTAAATAAACAAATCCATCAAGGTGTTTAACTTCAAACCGTTGCTTCTGACCAAAATACCAGTCCATGATCCATAATAACGCTTCCTCCAGTGAAGAAGTCCATCCCCATTGTCATCTTACATCAAAATCAACTGTTTTCAACTGTTAAACAATGCTTGATCAGTGCATATTTTTCTCCTGATTCAGACGAGATGACTTTTTCACTGGAGAAAGTAATATTATGGATAGAAGATTCATATTTTAGCCAGAAGCAGCGGTTTGAAGTTAAAAATGTGTTAATGATGGTTTACTTTTTTTATAAACATCTTTTCACTTTTCAATATGTTAATTGATGGACTGGAGTGGTGTGGATTACATGTGGATTACCGTGATGTTTTTATCAACTCTCATTCTGACGGCACCCATCCATTGATGAGCAAGGGATGTAATGCTACATTTCTCCAAATCTGTTCTGATGAAGAAACAAACTCATCTACATCTTGGATGGCCTGAGGGTGAGTACATTTTCAGCAAGTTTTCATTTTTGGGTGAACTATTCACAAAAATAATAATCTCAGACTGGATTTCAAAGAGCATATGCATTGAAAATGTCTTTGAATTTAGCAATCAAGAAAAATTCAGTGGTCATTTTTTGGTTTATTTTACCTGTAAGTGAGACAGCATTGTGTTGCAACAGATAATGGTTTATTACTTTGTTTCCCCCATTGATTTTCCCACTGGAGAACTAGTCGTTATTTCTGCATTTCATGCATGATGTGAAATATCAGTTAATCTTTCGTGAAGACCTGATATTATTGACTCGGAGCTGTGCAGTTGTTTCGATACGAGGCAGCGCTTGCAGTCACACTTTGCTGAATTACAAGTTCAATTCCTGACATTATTGCGCCAGAGGATTATAACGAAGAGAACCTTGTTTGAGATTTTAGACTTACTAAAACAAATGATGTGATTGTAATAGGCTTTCACTTTCCCTGTGCTCTTCTGTTTGTTCAGAAATGCATTTCATTTGCAAATGCAGACATTCCCAGTCTGTTTGTTGGCCGCCTCCAAAGTCCTTTTAAAGAAATTCTTCAAAAATATAAATTCCGTCATTATTTACTCATTCTCGTGCATGAAGCCATATGGAGAATTGCGTCTCCTCCTCCTCTGCCAAATCTCATTATTGTGTATGCCAATGCATGTTTGATATAAATTCCACTGAATGGCTGAATAAAACAGGGTCGATTTGTAAGACAAGATCGATTCGCTCAATTCGCTCAG